GATATTGTATATGAAACGTTATTAAATCGTGAAATTTATCGTCCGGGTGATGCAATACTTTTGAGCGCCACTGTATAATACTAAAATTCAAGAATAATTGTTGCAGCTGAAGCTGAAATTCATGTGATCTTTAATTACATATAGCTCTAACCTGACCTTAAAACGTGTGCAGAGTTTTTGAAATATTTTTGACGTAGTTGTTTAATAAGATTGATTAGTGTTATTGTCGAGTATAAAATTATTTATTACATAAATTTCAACATCGGTCGTCAAAATTAATTATAATTTTTTATAAAATTTATAAAACTGATATTTTGATTTTTATAAAAAAAATTTTTAAAGAATTTTTCACATAATCACGCTAAAACTACGTGATTTCAAAAACTAAAATAGCATTAAAAATTATCAAGTTTCGAAACTCTATTAAAGTACATGTAAATAGAGGTCAATAACGGAATTTTCGATTCGTGCGTGATTGTACATGTACATCGTCATTCCTGTGTTTGCTGTTATGGCATCAAAGCTTCGTGACACCGTTTTGATTGTACCACATACACGGGCTGAACTTGAAAAATAAAGTTTTATAGGAGAAATAATTACTGTTATCGTTATCTCAGTAGATGTATGTAAATGAAAAACGAGAATACAGTTACATGTAATACGTAACCTGAACAGAGAATGCATAATCAATAAATAACGAATATGTATTGTCCTCATTAAGTGTAATCTATATTTAACTCATGCCATGTACAGTACATACTTAGTCAGCCATCCATAGCTTTAAACATTCGGCCTCTAATTTTTTCAAAAACAAGATTTAGAGTAAAAAATAATAATTCAACGATAAAATCTTACATACCGATGCTCCTCTGAGCACGCGCCCCAATTCCCCATTTTTCGATTCTTCAAAGATGTAAAACTGTTATTGTTATGAGAAAATTTTTTAACTCTTACAACTTACACACAATAAACAGAATGAGTGCGTTCCATTCAGCAAATGGGCCAGTTTGGGATCACTTTTGAGAGAAAAATTCACGTACGTTTATCATATGATTATTATACATAAACATGCATAAATTGTTGTTCTAGAAAACTCTTGTTTCGTGACTTTTTATTCGATAGATGTATGTATATATGCATGCAATGCACGTATCTTTCTAGATTACTCGTGTATCATAATATATGTAATAAAAATTCTATATTAAGGTATTTAAAGAACAAATTTTTAACTAATTTCGATTCTTACAGAAAATTCTCAATGGACCAAATATGTTATCGATATACATGTACATGTACGACACTCATCACGCGTACTTTCCAAATACATGTAGAGTGAAAACTAAAAGACTTGTAAGTTGAAGAAATTTTTTTACATGAATACCTATCGTAAAAAAAGGCAAAAGGGACATGTATATGAATTATATTCATCATCATTACGTGACGCATAACCTATCAATCTTTCACGACTTCATGTACATACACGTTAATTGTTCAATGATCATAAATTTTCCCCCCTCGTGTGTCACTCTTCCTATATAAACTGAACACAGCCCATATTGCCTATTTAAACTCTGCCATAGCGTAGTGTTACTCCCAACTTTTTTGGTTTTTTCAGGATATTACTTTATATATCGATATCGATATTAAACTTTTGTCTAGCTATATTTATTTATTGTCGTTGAAAATCCTGTTTTCTAAAAATTATCATCCCACATTACATACTACTCCTCCCCATTGTCAAAGCAACAAAATTTTCTCTTTAAAATCCATTGTCAAGAAATAAAGTGCTTACAAACTTTTTTTCGCTGGGTGAAATCATACTACAATCTTTATTTTTTATTATCTTGGGCTAAAAAGTGTGCCAATACTATTCCTTTTTCGACTAGTTTGCCAATACCTATCGCCAACAAACACAAATATAAATACACACTTTTTCACAACGAATTAAATTACCAACCATAACATTCGTCTCAATATGTCATCATTAGGTCTTCCAAAATCATTTTCTTCCTCTTCGTCCTCGTCCGTCGGAAAAAAAATCTACAAAAAATCAATAGGCGGACTTGATCGTTATCTCACAAATGAAGGTCATCGAATGGTTGTCTCGTATCTTCGAAATACACAAACACAGAATATCATTATCAGCGGTCAACTACACAAACTTGAGGAAAGTGACATCGATGAACTGATAAAAAGTTATAAGGGAACGCCCACGCCAGTCTTTCGCACTCTCAATTATAATCATCTTCATTTGGCAGCACGCGAGATGAAGAATCTAAGCAAACTTTTGAAAGCCGATAAAATCACAAATATTCATACCCTTTCGCTTAAGAAAAATCATCTTTCGGGATCCCCGCTAAAGATTTTTTTCAAGGCACTACAAAAGAATAGCACGGTCACAAAACTCGACTTATCCTTTAATTGTGTGGGTGATCATGAGGCGAAATGGTTGGCCAAAGTATTGCAAAAGAATCAAACATTACGAGAGATTTATCTAACCTCGAATAAAATCGAGGCGCAAGGCGCGAAACTGTTGGCGAAAGCACTCGAGAATAGTTTGCTAGAAAGATTCAGTATTGAGCAAAATAGAATTGGTTCTCAAGGTGCGATTGCATTTGCTGAAATGTTGAAGACGAATAAAAATTTGAGATATATTCATTTCGGTGCTAACAATTTGGGTATTGAGGGAACTAGCGCTATTAGTGAGGCATTGAAAGTTAACCAGACTCTGGTGAGCTTGAGCCTTGATGCTAACAACATTGGAAAAGATGGTGCACGATTAATTGGTGATGCATTAGCAATGAATAAAACTCTTACTCATCTTTACCTTGGACGCAATAATATCCAAGATGAAGGACTACAACATATTTGTCGTGGCCTAAGTAATTCAAATTCTGCCATAATTTATTTGGATTTGGAATTTAATGGTATCGGAGGCGAAGGAACAAATAATAACACCGCCACGCTGGGAGGTGAATCACTAGCAGAACTACTAGACTCCAAAAACGGCAAAGTTCCGCGTGCAATAAATCTCAATAATAATCCATTTGGTGATGAAGGATGCGAGCAATTATCGAGAGGATTCTACAAAAACACAACCCTTGAATCAATCATCCTTTCGCGTTGTAATATTGGACTACGTGGCATCACTGCCATCTCGGAATCATTGATTGCTAATCGAGGATTACAAAATCTTACGCTGGACAATAATAATGCTATTGGTGCCGACGGACATGCAGTGTTAGCTAGCGCGTTAGAGAAAAACACTACAATCAAAGGCGTGCAACTCGACTACAATTTCGAGGACTGGGAACGTGCCGGAAATTCAATACAAGCGTCGCTTACACGTAATCATTTCCTACAACAAGAAAAATACGCGGTCGCCTCCCGGATTCTCGTGGCTGCACGAATACTCTTTCATTCTTTTCCACCAAAGAAACTTTCGTCATCTTCATTAATACATCTTGAATTTCATGCAATACCATTTGAGATTCGCGAAAATATTGTATTCGCGCTGGACGAAAACTCTGTGTTGACATACTCGCAGAAAATATCAATCGTCGACTTTGCAAAGCGGAAAGACACGTTGGGTACTAGCAGGGAATCATTTTTGTCGCAGACTTTTCGGGTTTATTATCCGTTGTCTTCGGCAGTACGACTTTGGCCTACCGAGGTTTCGGATTTTAATTCTTCCGATAGATATTAATGATTTATCGAAATACAATATATGGGACTTTATATGATAATACGTTTGGGTGGGGGGCTACGGGGTGTACATTTTGTTTTAGACATTAATTTTCAAAAACATACGAACAATTTTTGATCATCATCTCATAGACATTTTATATAATGACGACCGACACATATATATATATATAATCATTCATTTTTGAAGCACGAACAATCTTGTTTCTGTATTAGTATTGTTTAAATTCTTCAATGTATTTATTATTCATTCTTATAAGATATACGCTATACGTTATCCTGATCATATTTAACACTATGGTTACATGTATTTTACCCTTTACCAGAAATGGGTGGTCATTTGTAATAAAAAGAGACACAAAAAATGGTTCTGTGACTGATATAACGCGAATTTGCTTGACTGACTGATTTAATTTACTTATAGACTTTTGGTTCGGAATGGGTTGACCTTACGGAAAAAGAAGCCTAACATTTTGATTTTTTTCTAATTATGCGTAGTAAAGCAATACATTAAATAGTTTTTGCCGTTCTTATCGTTTTTAATACGCCATTCTTTTGCTTCGGCATGTGAGAAGAAACTTCGATTACTCAGATTTTCTTTTTGCATCATCTTTGTCGTACATTATGGTATCATTGTTGTTTGAGAAGTTCTTCCGACGCCCTTTTGCGTCATTCGAAAGAGGCAATTTTAACTTATTATTCCCATTTTTTGATTTTTCTCTTGGCAAATTATTTTCTGATAAATTTTGACCGTTCAACATCACATCAAGAATAAATCATTTTACTATAATTGTTTCTTTTATCTCACCAAAAAACCAAAGATTTTCACAGATAAAGTAATGGCAACTCACCTTTGGGCAAAAAGTGGCTTCATATCTGAACTTCCACCAACTCCAACATCCCCATTCACCAAATTTGCGTTTAACGAAGACGACGACGCCACAAACCACAACAATAACATTAACAAGATATACGGAATATGTCCTGAGTGCGATTCTCCAAATTCCGGATACGGTTGGTGCGGACAATGTATAAACCACTCTTACCAACAAACGTATCCGGATCGTACAAGTGGAAATGACCCAATCGATACCTTTATCACAAAATCACAGATAGTGTCCACATCGCAGTATAATTTTTTCGAGTGGATTCCGTACTCGTATTTCAGTGACATAGAGTTTTTGGCGGAAGGTGGATATGGGTGTATACATACCGCTGTGTGGTTAGAGGGACCCATCTCGCAATACGATTCAAATGTGAATCAGTTTTTGAGAGATGGTGCAAAAAAAGTCGCGTTGAAGACGTTTAAGGATTCACAAAACATTTCAGCTGAATTTTTTGATGAGGTAAGTGTATCTTTATCCAAGTTAGCGTTAGAAAAGTTTCTCCGAACAAAAATACATTCGTATCTATACATCACTGACCTTGGCATCCCATTTATGAATAGATTGCAGGAAGCCTACGACATACGTTTCGATATCCAATCATACCGTGTTATGGAATGACTCAAAATCCAGAAACTCTGGAATTCGCAATGGTTGTGCATTACGCAGCAGATGGCAACCTTCGAGAATACATGCGAAAAAACAATGCAAGCATCACCTGGCAACAAAAGCTCGACATTTTGCACGAAATCGCACGTGGTCTCTCGATAATTCATCTTCACGGATACACGCATCACAATTTTCATAGTGGGAATATTTTGTTTGACGGGAATGCGTCATTCATTAGCGACTTTGGCTTATCAAATTCGACTACCAAAAAACCCGGCATATTTGGCGTTCTACCATTTGTTGCACCAGAAGTGTTGCTTGGGGAAACGGAGACAACAGCTGCCAATGACATCTACGGTTTCGGAATGGTGATGTGGGAACTGGCGACTGGCAAACCACCATTTGCAGATCGAGCGCATGATACAGAATTAGCGTTGGAAATTTGCCTGGGAAAGAGACCCGAAATCGAAGATGGTATTCCGGAATTGTATGTTGATCTGATGAAACAGTGTTGGAATCAAGATCCAAAAGTACGTCCTGCCGCCGCTGTACTTGAACGAACTCTGCAACGATGGTATTCAGATGTAAAAGAAGATGAAGTTGAAAAGGAGAGTTGCATGCAATTCAAAAACGCCGAAGAGAATAGAGCTAAAGAAATTCCTGAGACGATAATTCATCCCGGAGCCATTTATCAGAGCAAATTCTTGAATCTTCCGGTTATAGCAATAGAAAATTCACAATTAGATATTGAAGCTCAAGGTTTTTAACGTTAAGAAATGTATATCGAATACATATACATGAACCAACTTGGTTTCTGTCTGATCGTGAACCTCGCATGAATCCCATCTTGTCATTCCTATAAAGTCTAGTGATGTAAAGAACTGGGGATTATTAATAACTTATTTATATTGTCATTTAGTTGCTGCAACAGGATATCACATGTGTATGTCAAAGTTTTATGTACTGTACAGCACCAGCAAGCTTTAAAATAAAGTCATTATAAACCACTCTTATATCGATATGGTTTTTTTATCTCATTTCGTCGCGTCGAATATGACACGTAAAATATTTTGTCATTTTAATTTTATATAAAATTTCTATTATGAAATTTTTTTAGTGTAAAATACCATTCACTTAATAATGGATTTACGTATATGTTTCATAGTAAATTAACGAAAACCAAAATTTTCGTCCTTATAAATGTTCAGGCTATTAGTAAAAATTTTTCAAAAATTCACTATCGCTATATCAACATATCGAGAGTTCACTATAATGAGAGTGACTTTTTAATAATTCTCACGCGTGATGAATCATCAACAAAATATGACTTTCGAACACATCCAGCGATTGATTATTAATTTATCCTATCGAGACGAATCGATCGAATCAAATGATAAATTTTATTTAACTATGTAAAATAATCTTAATATCGCTTTCCTTCCCATAACATAAACACATATAATACGTATACTAACACACTAAAATCTGGCAAAGAACAAATTCAAATGAATATTGCTACATGAGGAAACGGTACTCATTGTGCATTGCTGACTGAATTAGCTTCATCGCCTATAAAAGGTTAAAATAATACATGTACTCGATTAGCCAGTAAGAAAATGAATACGGCATGCATTCTATTTCTAATTACGAAAAATTTACCTAAAAAATATCTTAACGCCTTTAAGATTACGGCTTGATTTTCATCTTTTTGCGACGAGCTGTTTAATCTTCTATATAAGTCTAAAATTGGTTGGCTGGCAGCTTTGATACTATCATGATTAGGACCGAGCGGGTGTTCTTGCTGTTCATTTATATTACTTATTAGGTCCATAACGTTCAATCTATATGAGAATTTTATAAGTCATGGTTTATTAAAAAAGCATGATAAAAAGGGCCATCAACCTTATGAAATTTATTAATAGTAGTATAAGTCTCTCGTTATATGTATATTAATTTGCTTAATAGATTGAAACCTTGAAAATTTTAAAATAGAACAAAACGTCTATTTATCTATTTATACATATACATATTGGCCTATATATCTCCGAGATTTTCTTTTTTCGCTTCATATTATTTTTTGTGCTAATCTCTGTTTCTTTTTTCGGTTCATATTTTTGTGCTTACTATACCAAAGAGTTTTCCCAATCTTTACCGTTTTCTTTTTTTGGCTCTTTTTTACTTGACACAATTTCACACATGATCAATGTATGCTGTAAATTATTAATACCTGTCGTACCAGAAGGTCATCTTTGACAAGGTTAAAAATAGTGATTTTTATGAAGTTATGAGTGCCAAGCAAGTTGCAAGAAAAATGTGACGGAACCCAGTAAGAGTATAATGGTCTCTTGCCAAGTACAAAAGAAACAGGAAAAGCAAAAATTTACCATTGTCTGAGAGACCATAAGCTCATAATGATCAAGAAAAAAATGCATGTATACAAGAAACTAAAACAGATATTCTGAGCCATTTCATGATATTGGTAATAAAAAATCTGTGCAAGAACTTACCTGAAGATTCTCTAAGGTAATTTGATCCCTTTTCATAATATAATTTGTTTATTATAGCTTGCTTGGTGCTGACTTGCTCTATTTGAATTTATTTTATTTTTTTTGAACATCATGTTCTCTCAAATCAAGAAAAATATATTGTAATCCAATGATAGTGTAATGGTCTCTTGCCAAGTATAAAAGAGACAGGAAAAGCAAAAATTTATCACTATCTGAAAGATTATAAACTTTTAAAAATCAAGAAAAAAAAATGCATCGATACAAGAAGCAAAAAAAGACATCCTGAGCTATTTTATAGCATTGATAATAAAGAATTCATACAAAAGTTTATATAATTTATTCATTGATTTGAGAGAACATGATGCTTCAAAAAAATAAAACTTGATTCACATTAGAGAAAGAAGTCATGAATAGAATCAAATAGAAAAATCAATAAATATTGTGTTCTCATGATTCAAACTTCATAGAAATATCTTCAAGTTATCAAAGAACAATATTTAAAGTATATAAGCTTCCCAAGAATTGTGAAAAAGCTCAAGTCTACTCTGAAGAAAATTTAACGTGATGGCCTTTTAGGAGATTGTAGACTCTATATCTTAAGAAATCAAAGTGATATTAGAGTTATATAAAGAGCTAATAATGTATTAGCTATTGATAAAACAATATTTTTAAAAAAATTAGATATTACTTTTTGCGATGACTATAATAAGAAAGGGTTGTATCATGCGGACTGCAACGTAATCTACATAAATTATCCGGGTCATACCCGGATCATCCCTTATAAATATAAAACGGGTACAAACGGATATTACCCGTTTCTACCCATTTACAATTTTATCACCCGGATATTCCCAAGTAACCGGGTATACCCGGATTGTATCCGAGTAAACGGGTAACGGGTCGCAGCTCTATGAAAGGGGGGAAGAGATTATACCGAGATATTATTGAATGTTATTGTAACGGGCTCTATAAACACAGTTAATAAAATTTGGCTAATGACTTTGAAATGACTTCGATCTTTATTATAAATTCAAACCTATGATCAAAGTTTTTGAAAGCAATCCAAATTCATGAAATTGACTAACACAATTGTAATGATAGGCTAATGCTTGTAAACTCCTAATAAAATTCTATCTTTTTAGGCTGTTAAAATATAAATTTTCTTTTAGTGAAAAAATTTATTTTTTTGTAAAGATATATACTAAAATTGAAATCATTTGGAATATAAAAATGTAGAACCTAAATATAATTGAATTATTCTTCTCGACTTCTTTTATTTTCTATCTTTTAGTGTAAAATACTCTTTGATCGTTTTAGGATACTTGAAAGTACTGAAATACAAAGTATACCGTTCAAAATCGATAAAATAGATGGAGTTAATAATAAGCCTTATCAGTCATTCTGCCTTCTGGAATAGTACTCAACATCTTTCAACAGTATATTTGCTTCATCCGAGATCATTATTTTAAATCATAATCAACCTCCGTTAATCACCAGTTGCGGCAGTTGCAACCATTCAAAACTCATAAATACATGTACATGACATTCCATTTAGTAGCGGTAGCTCATGAAGAATTCCATAAATTTTTTGAGTAGATTTATTAATTACACTCAGAAAGTTAAACTCGGAATGAAAGCAGCAACTAGATTTTCAACTTTGATTTAACAGTCGATCTACGCAAGTTCCCTCTTGGTGAATTAAATCCATGAGTGTTCATTTTTTGCGGGGAGGTAATTTATTCCATAATAACTGGCTAATTACATTTAGAATATTTGAATTTATTTTGAAAAAAGCATCATGCTTACACTTTAGAAAAGGTCGTTTTCATCTCGTTTATAACTCTAATGTAAACTAATAATTTCAACACAATTTTGCATTTCCACCAGCGAGGTTCCAATCAATCAGCATATTCATTTCGAAACATATGCGATATCTACGCCTTCATATATGAATCATGTTTTTTAGGGCTCTCCGAGAGTTTAAACTAACACCGAGTGATAAATATTTATTTTTTTATATGTTCTAAGTAAAAAAGCGTATTGTGTTGGATTCGAAAAATTATTAACACAAATTTTTATCAGTTAAACAAAAAATATGACGACAGATATACAATAGCGGCCAAAGATAATGCATCAAGGGGTCAAATTTATTAATAAAACATAGTAAAAATTGAAATTTTTTCTCTGTATGAAACTTTATAGTTTCATTAATAAATATTTTTTATTTTTATATCAAATTAAAATTCATAACCTATAGTTTAATATATATTTTTTCCAAATTTTTAGATTTTTCTGAAAAAGTTGTTTTAATTGCAAAATTTTTCCTAATTAAAAATGAAATTTAATTAGTAAATTTTTGAAGATTATAAACTTTATAATTTTATTATTAATTAATATTTTTTTTATTTTTATATCAAATTAAGTTTAATACATCTATAGAGAAAAAATTTCAATTTTACTATGCTTTATTAATAAATTTGATCTTCACTACACATGTAGCATAATTTAATAATACATGTACAGTCAAATGTATAGAGGTCGGGACCATAAGAGATTTTTGACAAAAATATACGTTTAAAGGAGTTATGCATTTAGAGGAGTCAATTTGCCTATGTTTTATATAAAGTGGTACCAAACTAAGAGTATGCATTTAGAGGTGCTTTATATAGTATATGCATTTAGAGGATTATGCATTTACAGGAGTTTGACTGTACATGTATCGATCATTTTACCAAAATGCTATTGGAACACAGAAAAAGTATTTGAGTGGTGCATGAACAAGAACAAACGAGTACATGTATTACGTACATACAGAAATATACATGTACATGTTTCACCATAAAAGTACATGCACATGAATAGAGGCATTAAACATTGATGTTAAATTCTGGCGTTTCATAAGGTAATATAATTACAAAAAAATTGCTCTGTATGTGAGAACTAATTGTTTTTCAAAATTGAGGTAAGTGAAATAAAATGAATCAGACGCAATTAATGAACCAAAAGATAATACGTCAGTATTGCGATTGCCAAAAATCATAGGCGTCTATTTTATTTATGTATAGTCTTTTTTGTAACATTTTGTTCAATGGTTAAACTAAAACACGATAAACAAAAAATATCTATTGATAGAAGAAAATTAATTTAGTTCAAGTTTCTTAAATATATAAACAATTGCGTAATAAAATTGTGAAAATTATTTCGTTTTATTTGCAATGGCATGCAAACAAATGGCAATTAATTTTGCTCATAATTACTAATCAGTTATTAGAATAATATATGATTCATGATATTTTAAAAGTTCGGGTTTCCCGATGATCATTATCGTTATGGCAGTAATGGGAATCGAAGTGTAAGGCATACAATTCGATTTCCTAGGCTCCGGTGCACAAAACGTCACGTGAAGTTACCAATTTAAAACGGGTACGCTATGTCAAGAAAAAATCGGGCATGATCTGTTTAAAAAATTAAATTTTGATCAACCCGGCAAAAACATATCCGATACCAGAAATGAAAATCCAAAAAATACAAGAAACGAATGCGAAAAACTAGTTTGGAACTAATAAAAATGACGGGAAGAGAATTTTTATATAGTCCATTCTCCAATCTTAGCCTTAGGTTGAATACTAACCTTAAATTAACCTTTAACATCAAACTAAATATTTCGGGTAGAGATCAACAAATAAAATTCCCTAGGTTTCGTTTTCAACAGGACAACTCACCAATCCACAAGCAGATGAACCGAACTTTTTGAAAGTTACAGCGTTCGAATTATTGACTGACATCGATATAAACCCCATCAAAATCAGTGGGTGACAAAAATAGAAAAAGCAAAAAATTTATGATTAATTAAAAAACTTTTAACGGACGAATTTAAAACGATAATTCGTTAGAGACGGCGGGTTTGAACGAAGATTTTTTCTTTGATTGGTATGAAAGATCATGTTTTGGAGTTGGTAATCTATGCTACTTCATTACAGTGACTCTCTTTAGTGTATATCTATTAGTAAAAAATCCGTTAGATCGAGAGTTTTGAATAGTAAATCTACTATATCGAGTGGACTTTATTAGTGAGTTTAATTAATCTCTACTATAAAGGAGGTCACTATAAGGAAAGTTACTGTATAATTAAAAGCCGTAAATTAATACTTGCATCTTATAATTACAAATTTCATGTCACTCCTTTTTGTTAATAAAGATGATGAAGTTATGAACAACAGTTATCGTTGATAGACTAGTTCGCTACGTATTTCTATATAACAACAACATATTATTATATACATACGTTATTGGTGTTATAGTAATTTATTCCAACTTTAACCTG